TATCATGCATGAGACGTGCCAACCCAAGAGCTGGTATGTAATTGGCACTCAGTAAAGGGTGGTAATTATCCTTCATGTCTTGAGATTGTGAGTAAGGGTCTGAACCAGCGTACTGCAAGAAATTTTTGACAATGCATGATAGCCCTCAACTATTCACATGGAAAAGCATTGTTATATTTTTATCAAATCAAAAACGCTAAATAATAATAAGAATTCTATAAAGGCAATTTACATCCCCTTGCCTCATTGCTCTGTTCTTCCATCTCAGAGGCAACACACTTCTACTTTTCAAACTACTTCCAGTAGTGAGACAGAGCCCTGGTGGAGTAGTGGCTTATGCATTGGTCTGCTAAGTACAAGGTCAGCAGTTAGAAACCACCAGCCACTCCCACAATAGACTTTCTACTCCCATAAAGACTTACAGTCCCAGAAAACCACCTGGGGAGTTCTACCCTGTCCTGTAGGGGCACCGTGAGTCAGAATTCACCCCGTGGTGGAGTTTGATTTTTATTTTCCTGTAGTAGGAGTTCACCTTCCATTATCTGCAATTCTGAAGTCCCAAAGTCCCTGAAAGCCAAACGTTTGTGGCAGCTCATACGATTGCCAACTTGCCTGAGATCTGAGTTGCTATTTCTCCCAAATTATTTTTTCCCCATTGTTTTTCACTGTGTTTGTCTATGTTCCAGGCTTTTCTCAAATATCTGGAGATTGTAGGGTGCCAATATTTAAGAGGAAGCCCAGAAGAAAGTTGTTTGAAACATCTGTGTACATGGGCAGGCCTTGCCTTCAGTTACGCTTAGCTTTAGGGAGATCTGATGTTGTACAGGTGTATTTACATACTGATTCTCATAGGCCAGTACCTACAAGAATTTCTTGTAGGGTCTGAATAATTCTTTTTCTCTTGAAGGAAAAATTTCCTAAAGACTACTCTTTTTTTTTTTTTTTCTGAAGAGGTAAACAAGTTATGGGGAACTGGCTGGTAGGCGTAGGCTGGTGGTCTCTCAGCTCAGTGGGCTGTCAACTTTTAACTAATGTTCCTGGCTCCTTTCCAGTGCCATCTGCTATGTCTGAGTTTCCTGTCTCTTTGTTTCAGCTTCTCCCAAGGTTAAAACCCTATCTCTCATAGAAATAATCCCTGTGGAATTGTATGTCAGAAATGAACACAACATGTCATTGCCACCTACGGTAAGATTTTCCCAGTCACTTCAGAGCAGCACCTTTTAGACAGAAATGATTCAAATGGGAATTTCTATGTCTTGCTAAGTAGCAAGTTTTCAGGATGAGGAAAGATTTTAGGAATGTCTTTTTTTTAAAATCATTTTATTAGGGTCTCATACAACCCTTATCGCAATCCATAGATACATCCATTGTATCAAGCACATCTGTACATTCATTGCCCTCATCATTCTCAAAACATTTGCTCTCCACTTAAGCCCCTGGCATCAGCTCCTCATTTTCCCCCCTCCCTCCCCGGAATGTCTTCAAAGAATAAAGGACAGGTGTGCGTAAGATGGTGGTGCCAGACCTTGCCTTCCTTCAGAGGGGATGATGAAAATTACCATGAAGAGCAACCCAGTGCTGGCTCCCGTGAGGTGAAGGAAAAACCAGTTCTGACATCAGCCATCCCTCCCACAGAACTTTCTACCCCTCTGCTGTGTTGGATAATTTGTTGCGATGGTCACTCGGAGCTCACAGTGGTTTATTGAGAAAGTAACAGTTCAACTGGTGATCAGGATCAGCAGGCTGCAACTCAGTGTCAGTCCTTGACTTGAGGAACAGCTCTCTGAGGAGGCTGCTTGCCTCCGCTGTCTCTGCATCTTCTCTCTTCTTGTCCCTCCTGTCTTTTCTCCTTTCTGTTTTCTTCCTTTTGAACTCTTTCTAGGACAGGCTGCATAGTTAAGAAAACTAGGAGTTGATCAGCTGAAGGCTTGGTTCTCCCAGCAGGGCAACCCACGGACCAATCTCCTCTGTGGACTATTGTCACCTCATTTGAATGGTCCACAATACTAACCAATCCCTGTAAAGTGTGTAAAATAGACCAATCACAGCACAGGCTGCAGGTCAGGGCCAGACGAAAGGTATCAAACAGCAAGTTGTTGACAGTTTACTCAGAAAATGTCAATCAACCGAGCCAGAAGTTACATGTCTCTGGGGTAGAAAATTTGGGCAAAGGTAACTCCTCAAAGATTAGGAAGGAATCTCTCAAGCTGTTTTCCCAATGAACTGAGGCAAAAGGTTACATAAAGAAACTCATTTCACCAATGATGCAAATCACAAAAAGCAGGGCATGGATGCACCTTGAACCTGATGATAAACGCAAAAGAATTCAGGAGTGTCATCGGGGGTGAATCTATATAGAGTGCAAGAAATAATATAGGAAGAAACCCAGTCAGGGGCTTAGGCCAACCTTCGGAAGCATTTGAAATGCAATCAGTTGGAGGACTTTATCTGATTACGGGGCAGAGAAGGCACTGGAAGAACCTGAGAATGGGGTGATCTGATCAGAAAACACTGTGGATGTGGGTTCAGACTACATAGGCTATTGGTGTGGAGGAGTCTAGCGAGAACATTATAAGGTAAATTCACGGATGGCAGAAGATGGTAGCCTCGTTGTTGTGGTCCTGTTATGGAGATGAAACCGACATCTGGCCTGATCAAGCCTGGGGTTATGGAGACAAGGTCAATACCAAAGTAACGATGGGGAAAAGGCAGGAAAGGGGAAGGAGACAGTGCCAGTCCTGGCACCTTCTCTCTCTCTTTAGGGTCCCTTAAGATCCCTTAAGGGTCTTCAGATGGGAAGTTGGCTGATTTCCATGCTTCATCCAGGCATGCCTTCTGCTGACGGTATCCCCAAACCCAACAATGACTCCATCCAGAAACGGGTTAATTTCTCAGGTAAGAAGTCTGTGGGTGGGCTGTGTTCAGCTGCTTAATGATGCCATGCGGGCACTCCAGCTTCCTGCTCTATGTGCTCTTAGGGCATTGCCCTTGCTCAGCTGAACAGTTGCAGATGCAACTTGCAGTTGCAAGATGCCTGTTGCAATGCCAGAAACCAGGTCCATGTTGAAGGCAGGACTCAGGAGGGGCATGGGTAATGCCACTCAGGTCACATTCTCCTTTTCTTTTAAAAACAAAATCAAAACAAACTCACTGCCATCAAGTCAATGTGGACTCATAGGGATCCCATAGGGCAGGGCAGAATTGCACCTGTGGGTTTCTGAGACTGGAACTCTTTATGGGAATTGAAAGCCCTGTCTTTCTCTTACAGAGCAACCGTGTTTTCAACCTGCTGACCATCCACAGTTAGCATCCCAATGGATACCCACTAAACCCCCAGAGCTCCAGCTCTGACCTGACCTCTGACAGCGATCATGAGGTCAAGTCACAGGCTCGCTATTATGTCTTTAAAATATGCCAAAAGCTGCACAGATTAGGGGTAAAGGAGAGATTCACAATGTCAAGAGGAAATCCTTCTGAGAATAACTGTGAGTAGGATTGCAGAGTACCGGGAAGCAGAGAGACCTGAACAGAAATGTGTGCCTCTCTCTCGAAGTATCATATCAGAGACTCCTGGGGAGAGGGACTCTGGCTACTTGAGGTCAACTGAATAGAAACATAAGTGTAGATAAATGTGTGGACCCAGGGTTTCTCTTTTAGCAGAGCATCATTTGCGATGATATCTTTATGATAGAGATGCTGCAGAAATTTAAGTAATTTATGAGCAGTTAGCGTTATTTTCCAAAGCCATAGAAGAGACTTCAAAATCAAACATTACACATGCTCTTCATTACAAGTCGTCTCATTTTTAAATAAACATGACATCAAATGTATTGATAAGGATCTCTTGGGGCCTGGATCCCTGTTCAACTTTCTAAGACCAGATGGATGATTAGATTTATCTTATATACCCCAGGTAATTATGTACTTCTATTGAGAAGAAATCTATGCTGGCCCTTATTTTGGTAACACACACTTTTTAAAAGCTAGGAATCCATTTGCTCAACAGATAGCTAATAAACGCTTCCTGTATATCAGGCACAGTACCAGGCAATGGTGTCGGGGAGAAAGGGAAGAAGGACAGATAGCTAATTACAATGTAAAAAAATCCAACTCATTGCTCCCAAATTGACTCTCGCTCACAGTGACCCTACGGGACAGAGAAGTGCCTGTTGGTCTTCTGGGGCTGTCAATCTTCTTAGGAACAGAAGCCGCCTCTTTCTCCCGCAGAGCCACTGGTGGAGCCGGATGCTGCCTTTTGCTTTTAGAATTCACTGAGAAGCCCACTTTGCTATCAGTGCTCCTTCTGCATCACTACCATCGAGTCAATCCCGATTCATAACCACCCTATAGACCAACATCTCAAACCAAACGCACTACCATCCAGCCAATGCTGTCTCATAGGGACCCTGTAGGACAGGGTAGAACTGCCCCTGTTAGCTTCTGAGACTGTAACTCTTTACAGGAGTAGAAAGCCCCGTTTTCCTTCTGAGGAGTTGCTGATGGTTTGGAACTGTTGACATTGTGGATCAGCTCAGTGTGTAATCAATTCACCACCAGGGCTCTTTCAGTGATACTATATCAAGTACAATAAATGGGCAAGTTGGAATTGATCAGTAAAACGTGCTTGCACGTGGTGTGGGTGGAAACAGGGGTTTTCTAATCTGAGGTTAACAGCAAATTGTTACTGTTGGTGCTATTGAATCAACTCCAACGGAAGGCCACCCTAGAGGACAGTAAACCTACCCCATCAAATTTCCTAGGTGGGCTGTACTCTACCAGAGCTGACCACTGGATCTTGTCTCCAGCTGAGCCATTGGGTTTGAACCATTGACCTTTTGGTTACCAGTGAGAGCTTAAGCACTGAATCACCAGGGCTTCTCTGACAGCAAATCCCAAGTGGAATGTGCCAGAGAAAGTAGGACAGATTGGAAATAGTTGATAAAACTTGGGTTCCAGTTCTACCTTACCACCTGGAAAATGTGTTCCTTTTTGTCTTCCAGAGTGCCGACTGTCCAAGAGAGCAAGGGGATGAGAGGCTTGCACAGAGTGGGGAAAAAGAAGTTCTTCAGTGAGATCTGGTTCTGATTTACCATTACCACTCTGTCTCTCTTGTGAATGACAGCTACAGTATCTTCTCACTTCTCCTGTTGGTGCTATTGAATCAACTCCAATGGAAGTTGTCCAGCACTGTGGTGTCTAGCAAACTGAACGGAAGTTTAGAATCACAGTTTAGATATTGACTGGTTTATACAAATGGCAAAGACATAGATTTGTGGGGACCAAAGGATGAAATATTATGGATTGCATTGTATCTCTCCCAAATATATGCCAACTTGCCTAAGCCTAAGCCATGGTCCTCGGTGTAAAGTGATTTCCTCTGATACGAATGAGGCAGGATTGGAGGCAGCTATGCTAAGTATTCCTGATACAATTGGGTTGGTTGTATTTAGAGTTGATCTTTTTTGAGATATGAGCGACATTAAACATTGAGCAGAGAGCAGAGGGATCTGGTTGCCCTCCGGAAAGAAGAGCCCAGAGCAGAATCCTTTGGATCAACAGTCCTGACTAAGAAGCTTCCAAACCCAGGGGGAGAGTGATGCCAAAACGTGTGGAGCTCACCAAGGCACTCGGGCCCACAGATGTTGGAGAGACAAGGCTCTTCCTCTAAAGCTGACACAGAGCTGGCACCTTGAATTTGAACTGTTAGTCTCCTAAACGATGAGGAAACAAATTCCTCTTTGTTAAATCCATCCTCTTGTGCTATAATAGCATTGGAGAACTAAAACAAATGGTATTTTAAAGGTCTGAAACATAGCATTCATTTTCTTTCTCCGGGTAGCATTGTGTTTGTTTGTTTGTATGCTTTTTAAGGAAGAGATGTAGGGGTGTAACTGTTCAGCTCGGCAATTCAAACCCTTGGTGATCCATTTCGTGATGATTAGGATTACAGCCTGGAAAACTCTATAGGGCAGTTCTACGCTGTTGCATGAGGTCATTCTGGACGACAAGTAACTCAAGGGCACCCAACAACAAGTCAAGTGAGCATCTCTCCATCCATTCATCCCAAATATTTACTGTGGCTAATGTAACAGCTCCAGTCATTTGGCAGGAGCCCTAGTGGTGTAAGGGGCTAAATGTTGAGTTCAAACCCACCAGCCAGTTCACTGTAGAAAGATGAGGCTTTCTACTCCTTAAAGAACTAAGTCTTGGGAACCCACGTGGGCAGCTCTACTCAGTCCTATACTATCACTCTGAGCTGAAATTGACTCAATGGCAGTGAGGTTTTGACAAGTTTACTGGCATATAATTCATATATACAATTCAAGAGTTCAATCACATCAAGAAGAGTTGTACAATAATCTCCACAATTGGTTTTAGAACAGTTTCTTCATTATACTAATTGTGATTAGTTTCCCATGTCCCCCCAAATTTGGGTTTTTGGTTGATTCATCCCACAGTCTGTCACACTGGTGGTATGCATGTTGGTATAATGGTGGAAGCTATGCCACTGGTACTTCAAAGAACACACACATATAGACACACACAACACATAGGCACACACACACACACACACGAATCTCCAAAATTAGACCAATAGACAACACCAGGATACACAAGCAAAGATTGAGGCTGTCAAAGATTTCTGTGTATTGGGATTTACAAGTGACGCTCATGGAAGCCACAGCAAAGAAACCTGCTGCAAAAAAAGGTCCCTAAGGGTTAAAGATCAAGAATGTCACTTTGAGGGCCAAAGTGCCTGACACAAGCCATAGTATTTTCAATCACCTTGAGACAGTTGGACAATGAATAAGGGAGACCGCAAAAGTAGTGATGCATTTGAATTTTGGTCCTGGTGAAGAATGTTCAATGTACCAAGGATTATCAGAACAGACCGATGTGGCTTGAAACACGTGTAGCCAGAATGCTCTTTGGGAGCAAAGAAAACAAGGACTTTATCTCACGTATTTCAAGCCTGTGATCAGGAAGGACCAGCCCCAGGGGAAAACACACACACACCATTTTTGGTACCCTCAACAAGATGGATTGACACAGTGAAGCTGCCTAAGGAGCGTGTCAGTGTTCTGTTGTCTGCAAGGTTGATACAACGCAGCACTGATCCCGAGACACCTAACAACCATCGAAGAGCTCGCAGAGATTTTCCAAATGCAAAACTCATCTTCTTATAATTTCTATGACTTCAAAATTTACCGCTCCCTGTTTTCTCTTGCCTTTTATTGTAATGAATGCTTCACTTTTTAGTTTCAAGGATACAGTGCAAAATTCTTTTATAGTCATGCCAAGTGGAAGGTAATAATAACAGTAAAAAATATATCTTTATATGGCATAGACATGAAAGTATCCCTCGGCCTTCCGACAGATATTTCATTTTCGTTGGGAATTAAGTGCCGAGAGGTGGAGCCAAGTCCGTGAATCATACAACTAATTAGAGCTAGAAGATGTTTCCTTTGGCTTCGCTGTGTAAAGTCCGCACACATTCTACCCACAGGAGGGGGCTTCCACAAGTTCTCAGAAACATTCCACTCTCTCTTCATTCCGTTTTCCCAGGCACTTCCTGAAGCCCCCTCCTACTGTTTGGACTCCGTAAGAGAGGGAAATGGAGGCAAATATTCTCATTGGAAAGCCTCAAGGAGAAATTCCATCGGTAAAACCTTTATTTTATTGGCTATTTGATCCCATCTGATGACTCAAAGGATATATTCGTGAAGAAAAGCTGCAGCTCTCCCAATCAGACACGATGTCCCAAAGTTCATTTAGGTTTCATACCCTGGGCTGCTCCTCTTTTCCTTTGTTAAAAGTCCCTAAGAACATCTTTTTATTTTCCTCTCATGCTACTTTGTCTTTGATGGTTTCACCCCAGCTTGACCCGCCAACCCAGGGAGAACTATTGTAAAGAACAAAGTGTCAGCACTTGCTTTTTAATACCTGGGAGGAAGGGACACCCAAACTACACCTACTGCCATTGGGTCGAGTCTGACGCGTGGTGCTCCTGGAGGGCAGAATAGAGCTGCCCAGGGTGTTTTTCTCTGTGGGCGCCATCGAGCTGCTCCCCACCCCTAGCAACTTTACCTGCAGCAGAGGAAAACACTGCCCCGCCCTGCACCGTTCTCACGATGGTTTCTGCGCCTGAACCCACTGAGGCAGCCTCTGTGCTAACTGCCTCCTTGAAGACCTTCCTCTTATTCGCTGCACTTCTGTGTTCCCAAGCAGGACGCCCTTCTCCAGGGACTGGTCTCTCCTGACAGCATGTCCAAAGGATGTGAGACAGAGTCTCACCATCTCTGCTTCTAAGGAGGGTTCTCGCGGTAGTTCTTCCAAGACAGATTTGTTTATCCTTTTAGGAGTCCGTGGCACTTTCTATATATCTCTATCTCTAGCATATCTCTCTCTATCTCTATCTATCTATCTATCTATCTATCTATCTATCTATCTATCTATCTATCTATCTATCTATCTATCTATTTTTGCCAGCACCACAGTCCACACACATCAATTCTTATCCGTAAGAGCTGTTTCTAAAGAAACCAGAGGGTTTCTAAAGTTCTAAATCCTTATGGCAGCAGATTGCCACCTCATTCCCCTGTGGGATGGCTGGTGGGTTTGAACAGCTGACCTGTTGGCTAGCAGCCAGCCAGCAACTGAACACTTAACCACTGTGCCACTGGGGTTCCTCCGCCTAGTTCGTTATATCCCTCTTGTTTGCTTGGTAGATCTGATTTCAGACGTGCTGGTCATGCTTTCTTGTTCGGTAGTTCCTTCACCTTTTCTTCTTTGAAGAGCTTGTCCCTCGTCAGATAAAAGTAAGAGGTTCGGTCACAACTTTACTGCTTGCCACAACAATGTTGCTATGCTACCCTGGGAAAGTGCGTTTTTCAGGGAATTCTGAAACGTTTATCATTTGTCAAGTGTTTTAAAGGAAACAGGGGCCTGCTTCTTAAATGTTTAGCATCTGTTCGCAATACATTTAGGGTCTCAATCCAGTCCCCGCGGAAATTCAATCTGCTTTCCTTAATTGGATTGCTTTCTTCTTTGAGTGGAAGGACAAATAAGTGCTACGATTGTTTTTGGTTTTTTTTCCCCTTCTACTTCGCTTTATGGTATCACAGCAAAAAATAAATACAAAAAATTCAAGTGTGACCAAAAAAGCTTTTGAACATGATTGATGAGATCGTTCTCAACAGAGGGGACACTGAATGAAGTATGTCTACTGGGCTTTAGCAAATGGATTTTGGTAGTAGAAGTCAAAGTAATTACCTTAACTTCATATTGATTTATTCCTTTAAGCATGTTTTCGCATCCATTCTATCATTTGATATATCATCTTGTTAGACACTACTTCCTCCACAAACTCACTGCCATTGACTTGCTTTTGACGCACGGTGACCCTACACAGGGTTTCCAAGGTTGTAAATCTGTACCGGAGCAGACAGCCTCATCTTTCTCCTGTGGTGCAGCTGGTGGGCTTGAACTGTGGACGACCTGGTGGTAAGTAGTCCATCCTGTAAACCATTATGCCACAAGAGCTGCTAGACACAACCAGGAAAGGTAAAAATTTGCTAAATGATGTCATGTCTCATTTGATTGAGTTCTTTGTTCATCTCGACCCTTTCATCCCAATCAGATGTGAACATAAACTCCTCTCTCTTACTTCAGCTTTGATCTCTCTCCCTTCTCTCTTGATTTTTCTTTTGGTATTTATATTCATTCACCTGAACCTTAAGATTCCGTTCTTAGTGCTCTTTCCTTTTTAAGCATAAGCTGTGCTCACAATAGGACTGCTAAATGCACATGTACAGTAATGAATGCTCTCCTGGGATCCTGACATGAATCTCCAGCTCTTTGCTGGACACATTTCTAGATGAATCTCCTGGAAGAAAATTTAACAGTTGATCCAGGGCCTTGAGAAATCCAAGCTCAGGAATCCTTTTCGTGCTTTATCGTTTGGAGTTTGGAACTCTACGAGAGACAGTGTGGAAGAAAGGCCTGATGATCTCTTGCTGAAAGATCACAACCATGGAAAACGGCATGAAGCTTGGTTCTACTCTGCACACAAGGTCACCATGAGCCGGATCCACTTAAAAGCAATGGGTGTGAGTTTTTGTTTTGTTTTTAAGGTGGAGCTGAGAGATAATCAAGCTGTATGTATAAGCTGGGGTCTGGCTGCATATATCGTGTAGGCAAATGGGATAACATTTCTATTATTTTATATTAATATTATATATATTAAACGTGGCCTTCAACTTTTAGGAACTAGAGACACAGTAACCCAACATAGTATATTATGAGTCAGATAAATGTCACTTTTTGTTTTTCAGTCTTCCAAACAATTCATAATGTATTATCTTGAATTTCCATAGCACATTTCTTTCTTTTTTCTATTTTCCTTGGTGGAGAAAAAAAAATCCATTTATTCCTTATTTAGAAAATGTGAAAAACAAGTACCTTGGGTATACAATCTAAGAGTTGGCGGTGAGGTCAGTCAGGACTAAGGAGCCTCACTCTGGGCCCATTCAGCCATGAGTAGGCGGTGCCTGGAAGACAGGCCCAGGAAGTTCTCCTGTCCACACACACTGAAGGAAGGCCACAGAGCTCCCGGAAGTCAGAGGTGCTGAGAAGAGGATGGAAGGGGGAGGGGGTGAGATGGGGAAGGGGCTGAGGTAGGCAGGAGGGACAAGAACACTTGAATATGCAAGAAGGAGGCCCTTCCTTCCAGAATGCTGACCACACAGGCCTACGCGCGTCCTAGCAAGCCGACCTTGGCTTCCCAACCGCAAGTGGAAGGAAGAGCGTCAGTCCCAGTGATCGGAAGAGGTCACCTTCGGCCTTGCAGGCACTCCTTGCCCCGTCAGATCGAGCCCTGGTTGAAGCATGGATCCCCCAGTCGCACAGCCCTCCGCTCGCACAAGTAGCAGTACAGCACGGCAGCTAGTCTCTGAAACACAGTGCTTGTAATCCATCGGTCCAAACGAAGCGGTTGGGGTTTTTCCAGCGTAAGTTCATGACCCAGATGTGATGGGAGATGTTGAGAGCGAAGTACACTGTCAGAAGTTCGCTCCTGACATCCACTGTCAGGAGGGGCGGAAGGTGCCTTTGAACTTAGGAAGCAGAAGGTTGACCAGCCTGCCTGGAAGACGAAGGTGTTGAAGAACATGAAGAAAATGATAATGATGTTGAAGAGGATTTGCAACACCCTGGAGGATGAAGAGGATGAGCTGGATGATGGGAGCCATTCCGAGGAGCTCCTGGAGAAGGAATGGACAAAGGTCATAGGTCAGCAGTAGGAACTGCAGCGAGAGCACCAGGTTGTAATAACTCATTTGGAGCATGTGCTCTCTTGTGCCTCCAGGGGCACATTCCAGAGTTTTCTACAAAACAGCTCCTGGCTCTAGTGCCCACACAGAAGAGGCCTGGAGCCTGCATCAGGACTGTTTCTCTTGCTCTAAAGCAGTAGTTCTCAACCTTCCTAATGCCAAGACCCTTTAATACAGTTCCTTATATTGTGGTGACCCCCCAACCATAAAATTATTTTCATTGCTATTTCATATCTGTAATTTTGAGCTACTGTTATGAATTGGGTGACCCCCGTGAAAAGGTTGTTGTTTGACCCCCAAAGGGGTTGAGACCCACAGGTTGAGAATCACTGCTCTAAGGCAAGGATCTCAAAAAGCCATCCTCTCTTGTCATGGGGATGCCCTCCATAGCACTTTTCTATGCGTGCTAAACACACATAGAAAACTAAGTTACCTTAGTTTTCTTCATCTGTCATGACCTTGAAAAGCACACTGCATAAGGAGCTGGCTGACCCAAATGAATTCCAGACAGATTCTCAAAGGCTTGGGACAGTGGTTTAAATTGACCTTTCAACATCACAGAGTATTTGAGGGTCAGAGCGTATTGATCATGTCGAAAGGCATTTTTGGTCTCTGTGTTAGGCAAGGAAGATGAATGCAGAAAAGCTCTCAGGAATCTGGTAAATCGCAGAAGGATTTAGAGATTCTGGTCATTTTAAGCAAAATCTGAGGCGAATCCAGTGTGACTGGAAGGAATTATTATTTTCCTCTTTATAGCCTTCGAAAGTTCTGGAAGTGCTAGACAATCCCGAGCTTTAGGCTCTGAAGGCAGGCCCTGGAGGATATCCAATTAGACATTTTCCTCATTCTTTCCCTCGGAGCCGTTAAGTCAGTCTTTGCGGCGGCGGCATTAGCTGCCTTGGGTTGATTCTGACTCATGGAGTGTCCAAGTGTGCATAGCAGAACTGCTCCACAGAGCGTTCAAAACCGTGACCTCCCTGAAGCAGAGTGCTAGGCCTAGCTTTGGAGGCACCTCTGGGTGGATTGGAACCACCAACCTTTCAGCTACTTGTGCCACCCAGGGACCTCTAACCTTGGTGTGGAAACAAGCAGGTCACCAGGCTTACCTTGACAGTGCTGCTGCGTGGGTTTAAACCACACTGACCTTTCGGCGAGACTCAAAACAGCTCACTGCCATCGAATTGATGACGACTCATAGGGAGTCCAAAGGACGGGGTGGAACTGTCTCTGCGTTTCCAAGACTGTAACTTGGAAAGTAAGGAAGCAGAAAGCCATGCCGTTCTCCTGAGGAGCTGCTGGTGTTTTCGAACTGCTGACCTTGCAGTTAGCAGCCCAATGAATAACACTGTGGCACCAGGTCTCCTTTTTTGGTGAGTAGCAGAGAGCAAAGAATTTGCACTGCTCCAGAGCCGTACATAAAATGTAAACCATTGAAAACCCTTCGGAATGCAGTGCTAATCTTTGAGACCACTCCCCAAGCTGGTTAGGCCGTGAGACACAGTGAATTCCTCAGCTTACCAGAAGCTCCGCACTCTGCCTTAGGATATGAGTTAGTGTCACAGGTGATACTGCATACAGTGGCTGTCATTAACCTGTTCTTTTCTTCCTGGTAACCTGTTTACTTTTGAGCATTTCCTCCTGGGAAAGTATCCACCACAGCCAGCAGGGTATCACCTATATTCAGATCTGGTTGAACCACCAACCTTTCCATTAGAAACCAAGCGCAGACCACTCAGGTTATTCTTGTGGTTGTTAGGTGCTGTCAGGGCAGTTTTAGGTGCTGTCAGGGCAGTTTCAACACAGAGTGACCCTGTGTGTAACACGCTGTGTAACACGCGTCAAGAATGAAACAATGCCTGGTCCTGAGCCAGTCTCACAGTGGTGATCTTTGAGCCCATTCTTGTCGCTGTGTCAAACTAGCCCATTGAGAGGCTTCCTCTTTCTCCCTGATTCTCTACCAAGCATCACGTTTTTGTTTTTTTTCCCCCAGGGACCGGTCTCTCCTGATTACACCATTAACCATTTATACTATCATCAAAACCTGCTGTCGTTGATGCAACTCATAGAAATCCTATAGAAGGTTTCTGAGACTGGGACTCTTTACAGAAGCAGACAGCCTCATCTTTCTTCCTCTGAGCACTTGGTGGGCTTGCACCGCTGACCTTTTGATTAGCACGCCAACGCTTAACCCACAGCACCACCAAGCCTCCTTAAAGCGTCATTAAAGAGGATATTGTTCAACCAAATGAATAGCTAGATTAGTAAACATAAAGTGACATGTACTTTATTCATTAGTTGGAGGGAGGGTTTGAATGTAGGTAAAATCACATAATGAAGGCAGTTAACCTTATTTGGAGCAATCAGTCACGTGGCCATTCATCCACCAGTGACTCAGAGCCCAACGGGCCTTGGCGCCCCGCGCGCCCCTGGGGCGGGGCGATGGCCGGAAGGGCGCGG